TGTTCTTTTTTTTTTTGATCAAGGTCCTTTTATTGAGGAAGCAATGAAGATGTATGTAGCAGATGTAGTTAAAATAACTTGTAATTAAAAGTAATAAAAAAAGAAAAAGCCAACATACACCTTATCAGAACAAAAATAAATAAATAAAACCAATAACAGCCAGACCAGTAAAAAAAAAAAAAAAATCCTACGCAAATAAACATGTACAGGAAAAGAAAGCATAGTGTACATTCAGACCAGTTGCCAAGTTGTAAAGAATCTCCAGAATGATAATTTCATGGAATATCAGATTTTCTCCAACTGTACATGATACCTAACATCTGCTTATGATAGAGAAGAAGAGTCTTTCCATTTGCACAAAATTTGCCTTCTGGCAACAAGTGAACAAAAATCAATAACATCTGACTAACTAATATAATTAATCCAAGTATTGCAACAACATAGTCTATAACATAGTGAGAACTGGTCCCTATACTAAAGTGTTACCAATAAAACCGAGCAATTTAATAGCAATAGACATGACAAGAACATATAAAGAAGCTGGTGATTGTTTGCATTAGTCACATGTAGGATCTACATCACTCCTAATCTTAACCTACTTAGTTTATAGATTTTACTTATAAAGTGTTTTACCTCGCTTTCTTTCAGTGTTTTTTAACATGTGGTTACTGAGATTTTCCGAGTGGCTTTTAGCACACTGGTAACACTTTAGTTTAGGGACCAATTCTCACTATTAACTAGTTGTTTATTAGCATGCATATTACTAGCATTTTGGCTGTTTATTAGTACTTAGAAAGCACATATTAATGCCTTTTTCTGCATGACCATATTTTAGATCTGTTAATCCGACCCATACCTAAATTTAACAACTACCTTACTAACTATTAATAGCAGCAAATTATGAGTTTATTGAGGCAAATGTTGTAGTTAATAGTTAGCTAATAGTGAGAGTGTGTGGAGTTTGGTTTCCCATTTTATAATTTGCCATGCTACAATAATATATCAGATCACTTTGAATAACTGTAGGACATCTCTCCTCTGCAATACTGCACTGTGAATTGCTTATGGTTAGGGATATTTTCACATCATTAACCTTAAATCATTAACCACAACCTTAAACACAGTTCTTGTTTTGTTGTTGTTTTCAGCAATAGAAATAGTACAAGAAAAATCTATTTTTTCTTTCAGATATAGTTGTATATAATATCTGTTACACAAGGGCAGTTAAAGTAGTTTACTTTCATATTTCTATTTCCCATTCTCAAAAGACTTCCAAGGATCAGGTCTGTTTTAATTACACCGCACACTGCACTGGACCCTTTTTTCTCCCATAGACTGCTCTGTGTATTTGTAGTTTGCTGAAGGATTTGTGAAGGACGTGTTGGCATGCTCAGCTCTTGGCACGGGAGAGTTGTGGATGGTTATTGTACTGTTATTGTTTGAAAGCAGCAGTCACTGTGTCAGAACCACAAAACACCAAAGCAGAAAGGAAATAAAGCAAGCCCTGTGTAGCTCAAATACAGCTTTTACAAACCCAATATCTGCCTCATAAAGAGTCACAGGGGCGCTGCCAGAGGAGAATATGTCTCTCCCTTTTTCTTTTCTTTTTTGCATACCATAGGAAAAGGATAAACAAATCACAAAAGGACTTGAAGGTGGCTCTTTTGACTTCAACCAGTAAGCAACAGCATAGCAATAAATCAGCTAAAGCTCAAAGCACCCTAGAAATCGCACAGCAACAACAAAAAATACAACACCTTAGCAACCACATAGTGACACCCTGGCAACCACACACAGCACCCACATCTGGTCAAACAACACTCACATTTTCTTGTTGGTTTTTGTATTTGTTTTAAAATTTAGTTTATATATTTTTATGGTCACACTTTATTTTAAGGTCACTTTTATTTTAATATCAACTAAGACTTTTGCCTCGATAAACTCCTAATTTGCTGCTTATTAATAGTTAGTAAGGTAGTTGTTAAGTTTAGGTATGGGGTGGATAAAGGAATCTAAAATATGGTCATGCAGAATAAAGCATTAATATGTGCCTTATAAGTACTAATAAACAGCCAAAATGCTAGTAATATGCATGCTAATAAACAACTAGCTAAATAGCGATAATTGGTTCTTTAAATAAAGTGTTACCATAAACGATTATGAGAACATGCATTTTTTTCTTAGAGTAATATGCAAGGATGAATCATTTGCAGTAAGACCAGGAACTTTTGTTACGAAGGTACATAGTTTTTTTTTATTCATGCTGACTAAATGATTAAAGCTATCTGCCCTTAATAAATAAGTTGTTGTTGCAAGCAAAACTCTCCCTCACATCCATCATTCAATAGTCAGGTTAAAGACATTATATCCACCACATCCACATTCCCTGCTGTCATCATCCACCTCACATATGCGCAGCTGAAAGACGGAGTGAAGCGAAGGGACGAGCGTCTGTAATTTAGCCGCTCGAGCTCGCTCTCACACACAGCCACATTGATGTGTGCACAGCCCTCTAGGCCAGAATTGCACTTCTATAGTTTTAAAGTGCTCTGGCTTGTCGTCATTAACGGATCTCTTTAATCTGACACTTGGAAAACTTCTTAAAGCAGCACACTACAAATAGAAATTCCACATGAAGAGCCGGCTAGTGCTAACAAAACATGGGCTGCAGTTTAAAGAGGCCCTCTCTTTTCTCTTTTCTTTTCTATTGCATTTACCCGAGGGAGACATACTTGCCTTATCGTTTGAGGTGGACCACCCAAGAAAAATGACTCGGGTCTCACCTTTGAGTGTGAGTGAGCTTTTCAGCTCAGAACTTGCACATCCCCATCTTTGCAAGTCCATACGTGTGTGAACGCCGTATTAGTTGTGTGCGAGTGTGTGTTTTAGTAATCTATGGGGATAAACAGCTGTTGAAGAAAACCAAGAGGGCCGAGACAAGAAAGTGAGAGAATAAAGGCCATTGCCATGCCTCTCGCTCCATTCAATCCCCCTTCCCTTGCCCCCAGGAAATCAAATGTTCCACGTTTGCCGCTTGTTTAGATTGATCCCGCTCTGGCTGGCTGATAAAGAGCGTATCGCCCTGGCCATCTGGACCCTGTTTGGAGAGATTCACCATAGAAAATCACACGTTCACGCAGAGAGGAACAACAGCTGTGAGGTTGCTATGCTTCCCTCGGCCCTTCAGAAGGTTTCAAGGGAAAACACAAGGCGGTATCAAGGTGTATCCTCGATCGAGTGCAGCCGGGGAGTCCGGGAGACCTAGGGTTCACGGCGAAGTGGCCCTTTGAGTGCTCTCTCTGTCCCAGGAGATCAAATGAAATGGAGCCTGTAGTGCGTCGGTACACAAATCCACTTAAGGAGCTTGTCTTTTGTGGCCTCCCTCACCTTCGTGCTCGGCTTAGCCAGTGACCTTTGTCCCGTCTGGAAGGACATGATGTGCTCTTCAGGAGAACATTGGGACAAAGCGATCACCCACAATGACTCATTCAGGCTGTTTATTAATGAGAGCCGCAGATGACAGGGTCCTTTTATGACAAAGACGGAGATATTTTCAACCCCTCACCCCAACCCGGCACTCAACTGTTTCGTAAATCTGCTAGGAACCACATGAAAGACTCGGCTCATAACTGTCAGCACTCTTCCAGGAAACATCACCACACAAAGGCTGTTACATTTCTGGGGTCTGCTGGCGTTCGGGTTACTGGCTTGTTGTGTTTCATTAGATGTGGGCTGGTATACATGAAGGTCATGGCTTCGTTGCTCCCTAAATTTCCCTCTAGGCCTGTCCAAGGTCCAACCCTAACCTTCTGCCTCACCTGCCGATAGGCACTGTATTTATGATGAAAATAAGGCTGCAAAGGACGGAAGTACAGTTCATTTAATATGCAATACTATTTTAAGGTTAATCTGAGGTTTTTTTGTCTACTGGAAATGTTTTTGAAAAACATACTTTCACTGTTTTTTTGGTTGATTGATCAATTTGTGGTCACACTTTATTTTAAGGTCAAATTCTCACCAGTAACAAACCATTAACTATGACTTTTGCCTCAATAAACTCCTAATTTGCTGCTTATTAATAGTTAGTAAGGTATCTGTTAAGATATAGGTATTGGATAGGATTAGAGATGTAGAATATGGTCATGCAGAATATGTGCTTTATAAGTACTAATAAACAGCCAATATGTAAATAATAGGCATGCTAATAAGCTACTAGTTAAAAGTGAGAATTGGTCGCTATAGTAAAGTGTTACCCAATTTGTTTTTTCTTTGATTACACTGGTGCATGTTTGTTTTTACATTGGGATTTAAATAATGCTATACTTTTTTATGCTTGGCATAGCCAAGGGTCAATACAGCTGTCATTCAGTCAACTTCCATTGCATTACACCGTCACTGACCTTTCACCCTTCACAACCAGAAAGTCAGGCCTTGTACTCGGCAAAAAAAAAAAAATAAAAATTACTGAGCAAATCTTTTTTTCATTTGATTGATTGAAGTCAGTTCAGTGGGAATTAAATATGATTTTTCCATTTACCCACTGCTTTTTATGAATTAAAATGACATGGTAGCTAGTCATTTGTGGGCATGTCTGTACGAAATTGAAGCTGAGAGAGAATGGAAAATGAAAATGCAGATTAATTCGATGATAAGCAAAATCACTCAGTCCATATGCCTGTTCATGATTGCATCCATTATGGTCACAAAAATATTTAATTATGGTTTATTGTAGCTTCTTATATGCTTTAGTGAAGTGTTTTTTTTTTTTTTAAAGATTCTGTTGCATCATAAAAGAGACTCATATTGTATTGTGACCAGGATGTGCCGAATGAGAATGATACTTAGCATTCGTCCAATCAGAATTGTTTTGCGATTTCTTAAATGGATCTAGCATACCTCTGAGATGAACAACTGCTTTGCTAACATCCTGTTGTATACTACGAAGACATTAGAGACATTTGCTTTATCTAATACTCGATTCACTCGATTTTTCCCTTCAGGTTCTTCAAGAACGTGTGCAGGCTCTGCAGAGACAGCTGCATGCCGTTGAGAAGAAGTTGATGAGCCGCGAGCTGGAATACCAGGAGCAGGTAAACTTACAAACGGCTTGGACCTCAGTGCATGCCACGTCCCCTGGAGGGCCAGGAAGAAGCCACGCCTCCTCACTGAGTCACTGATATGCCCTGCACACATTTTACACATTCCATGAGATCCGGCTTCAAGAGCCAGAGCCCTCGGCCAGGAATGCTGTACCCGTTTCAGAGGGATTTCTCAATAATAACAGGCCACTTTGACCTTGAGTTAAAGAAAAAAGAGAGAGAGAGAGCTAATTAACTGATTAATAGCTCCGGGTGGGTCTCTGGGCCTGCTATGTGTGTAGAAACGCCCTTTTTGTACTGGAAACCTCTGCTGACCTTTACTGGGCTCCTCAGACAGTTGTTGGGATGTGCCCTGGGCTGAAGTATCTGTTCAACCACAGGCGGGCTCTCTTGAGGAACAGCTGCACTGAGTTGGCACTGTATTCTGTGGAAGAGCCCCAAAGCTCTTTATCTGACAGTGAGTGCCAGAAGATTAGTGGTCAGGCTATGTGTTATGACGAACATACGCCAGACACCTGACAACTAGGGACAACTAGATGGTGTCTAGATTGCTTTAACCGTAAAGTCAGCATGAAATGAAAATGTTCTTTTTTTTTTTTTAAAGAGACCAGAAATTAATGTCACACATAAAGAAAAATTGGTAAAGCTTTATTTTAAGGACCAGTTCTCAATATTAACTAGTTGCTTATTAGCATGCATATTACTAGCTTAGCCTATTGCCTGTTTATTAGTACTTATAAAGCACATATTAATGTATTATTCTCCTTGACCATATTTTAGATCCCTTAGTCCTACCACATACCTATCCAAACTTAAAAACTACTTTGCTAACTATTAGCCTAATAAGCAGCAAATTAGGAGTTTACTAAGGCAAAAGTCGCAGCTAATAGTTAGTTAATATTGAGAATTGGTCCCCAAACTAAAGTGTGACCAAAAAATGCATCCCCAAAATGACTTGCGCTCTTGAACCGCCCAAAATGCCACCATAACCAAATACAAAATTAAAAATGGAATGTTTACAAAATATCAAGTACGTTTCCATCATCTAGTGTTGCTGCTTGGGTACTGCTTGGGTTCCTTATCCCTACACTCTTACTTATGCTAAAGTAACAAATATTTTTTGCAGCAGTCTTTCAAAGTGTATTAACATTCCCACACCTCTGACATGCTTCTTTTGTGATTTACTGTTAATATCATAGGCTAATGATCATGAGCCAGTAAAATCCAGAATCAAGATAAAATCAAGTCCCACTTACTTTGTCACTATTATGAAATATGTCACTTTAGGACACTTTTGTCATCAAAAAAGCTGATACGCATCAATTGAGCATCAAAATTTAAAACAACTGTTCAAGTAAAAAAAATTGCAATCCACTTTACGTCTGTAATGTGTATTTCTGAGTAAACCATAAAAAAAGTATCCATCAGGAATAGTTAGTGATAACTCATTTCAAACTCATTTGCTGTTTTCTTTTTCATAGAACGGCAGTTCATTTGCCCTTTAAAGGACAAAATAAACCATAATAGCTTGATATTCATGGTCTCTATGCAGTGTTGTCGTATAGAAATGTCATTCTTCATGATCATTCTTCAAAAACTCTTCTTGAATATGAGGGTAACACTTTTTGAGGGTCAATTTTGATTTCATTCTGACTTCAACAAGCCCCGGAGACAAGACCTTCACTTTAGAATGCGATCGCCAACCCCAGGCCCCCTTAAGAGACAGAGCGCCTGCAAAGAACATCTACTCCCACCTCATAAACCCTCACAGCACTCCACATCTCAAACGCTGTGCATGTGTTCGTGAGAGAGGGAGTATATGTGGAAATAAAGGCTGAGAGGCCTGCTCTCTTTTCAGTGCAGTGATATTGCCCCAGTTTATCTTCCAAGACATGTCTTTGTAATGCAATCCTCGGCATGCAAAAACAGCCCTCTTTTTGCCCAGACTTCAAACAGATGTTCCTCGCTCGGTTGCTCCGGGCCCCTCCACGCCTGCTTGGCATGAAATGTCGGCATGGCAGCGGCGTGTTTCTGCGCAGTCTCGCTGGCACGCAGGATGAGATGATTACAGACACAAAGCCTTCGAAACAGTTAAGTTACGGAGTCCTCCGAGAGGTTTCCTCCCGAGGCACAGCAAGGTGTTATTTTCATATTAGGATGGATTTGACATGTTAGTTAAACAGGAGCTATTCGCTGCATGCTAAGTGTGCTGACGACTGCAGTGCCGGCATTGAGTCTTAATCTACCGAATCTCCCTTCTTCGCTGGTGAGGGTGAAGCCGAGCTTTTGATGTAAGCATGGGATTTCGGGGATGTCAGTGATGATGCATTTAACACTCCCAGAGCTTTTAATTCTTTACTTGCTTTATTAAACTTAAAGTATGTCATTTCTTTATGACTGAACGTTTTTCAAAAATAATCATTGTTTTTCTGTAAGGTTGCTGAACACTCCCCCCATCTGCCATTGGTCAAACTGACCGTCCCTCCCCAAACTCACTCAATTGATTGAGTCGGTATTGATATGTCAAATGCTTAAACAAACAAATTGCATGGGACAGAAGGTCACACGTTAGTGTGGGGACCAATTCTCACTATCAACTACGACTTTTGCCTCATTAAACTCCTAATTTGCTGCTTATTAATAGTTAGTAAGGTAGCTGTTAAGTTTAGGTATGGGGTAGGATTAAGGGATCTAAAATATGGTCATGCAGAATAAGGCATTAATATGTGCTTTATAAGTACTAATAAATAGCCAGTATGCTAGTAGTATGCATGCAATTGGTGCCTAAAATCTTGCATTTCAAAAAAAAAGAACCGCAACTATGAACCAATGTTAGCACTTTAAATATGTAAAGCTTATGATGCCAACCCCCAAAGACAGCCTCTACTACTATATGGAGTAACATACACTTTTCAAGACCCAATTGATCCCAGATGAATCCTGTCCAGTTTTTTTTTTCTGGTTGATTTCCGTTTTTGGTTAGAAACATGTCAGATTAAACCAATAAAATGAGCTGCAAATTCTATTTGTTGCTATTTCTTGTTGACTTAAATATTGTATTGTATAAACAAATTAATTTTGTGCATTGTATAGTTACTGTTATTTTTTGCCAATGACAGGGTCATTAGATTTGGCTATGAATTTACACAGAAAAGATGCCTAAACCTTAGATCTGTTCCTCTCCACTGCCAGCGCACTGTAGAGTAAGTGCCGTCATTTTCCATTAGCTTCCCATTACTGCACTGGTGCTACTGTGGAGCCCCACTCCACTGTAGTGGCACTTCATAAATCATACTTCTGCTTCATAACTTCATAAAGAGCCTCCTCCAACCTCTAATTTCTGTTCACATCGTTCCCAGCTTCTTGAAAACGCTTTTTTTTTTTCAGTTGGCATGCTATTCAGAGAGCTTCATACTCAACTAGTGCTCTTGACTCCAGAACCGCCAATTTTATGACGCGAAACTTTGTGAGTGGTGCCGGTTTTTGATGTACCCTTGTGCATCTGACAATGTTTTTGTCACTTTGCCGTGTTTTTTTGAATGCTTGTGCACTCTTTCTCTCCCCTCCACCCCCTTCATTAGCATACATCAAGCTCCTGACTACATGACAAACTTTATTTGAACATACAAAGTGCTGAGGTCTTGCTGCTTTCAGCTGGCAGCTGTCAAAAACCCCAGCTAGTGACAAATCCTGCATCGCGCAAAGTCAAAAGCAGGCACAATCTAAAGACTATATATAGATGAAATAGTGTCATTTTAAGTGAGAATGGTGCAGAAAGGAGACTGCTGCTGCCTTCAAAATGGAGATTGGTTTATTAAACAACAAAGATTACTTTTTAAAAAGGAAAGGAAGATGAAATCGTTCACTAGTCACATCGTTCAGTTGTGAAATCTGGATGCTTTTATGTGCAGTTCATTAGTTGATGGAAGTAAATCAAAAATAAAGCACAAAGCCTTACCCTCAAAGTGGCCCAGTGTTGCAGCTGTGATTGTAAGAACCTGTCAGAATTTATTGAAAAAGAAAACCTGTATAAATGAGTGGTTATGTCCCGGGGAATATACTGAGTGTCTTTCATGCCACAGTCAAGGATGTTTAAAGGAATAGTTTGCTGAAAAATAATCGGGGCTTAATTTGTGCTGGATCCTGACAGAACAGGATACGGGACCTCTCGGTTTTTGACTGTCTGTGTTCCGGTACCTGTTTGCATGGATCCAGAAGACGCGTTTTGGGCAATTCTGACAAGAGCTAAACAGATGCCGTTCAACAGAATATTGGTTGTGATGACAGAAAGTGGAAGATTAGCAAAAAATTGTTATATTTAGGCTACGTTCACACGAAGCCAGAGCTTTCCCTATCCGATCTTTTTTTTTCTCCTCGTCTCAAGAAATATCTGCGTCCACACGAAACCGACACAAAACGATGTAGTTTCCATGCCAGACCAACATGTGGCGCTGTAATTCTGCCACAGAGATGCACTAAACAGAGAAGAAGACTTGGACTATGCGCATAAACCTTGCGCGCGGTATACAAACGAACATGGAACAATATATGTATTAATCTGTGTCAATGTTAGTTAATAAAAAGTAGGGATGCACCGATACCACTTTTTCCAGTACTCGCCCGATACCGATACTTTTATTTTTGGTACTTGCCA